GATTTTGTCATTTTTTAGTGCTGAGTAGTAAGTACTCCATTGTGTATAAATGCCACATTTTTTTTTATCCATTCATCTACTGAAGGGCATTTAGGTTGGTTCCATAGTCTAGCTATTGTGAATTGTGCTGCTATGAACATCGATGTAGCAGTATCCCAATAGTACGCTCTTTTAAGGTCTTTAGGGAATAGTTCAAGAAAGGGAATAGCTGGGTCAAATGGTGGTTCCATTCCCAGCTTTCCAAGGAATCTCCATACTGCTTTCCACATTGGCCGCACCAATTTGCAGTCCCACCAGCAATGAACAAGTGTACCCTTTTCCCCACATCCTCGCCAGCACTTGTTGTTGTTTGACTTCATAATGGCTGCCAATCTTACTGGGGTGAGATGGTATCTTAGGGTGGTTTTGATTTGCATTTCTCTGACTGCTAGAGATGGTGAGCATTTTTTCATGTACTTGTTGATTGATTGTATGTCCTCCTCTGAGAAGTGTCTGTTCAGGTCCTTGGCCCATTTGTTGATTGGGTTATTTGTTATCTTATTGTTTAATTTTTTGAGTTCTTTGTATACTCTGGATATTAGGGCTCTATCTGAAGTGTGAGGAGTAAAAATTTGTTCCCATGATGTAGGCTCCCTATTTACCTCTCTTATTGTTTCTCTTGCTGAGAAAAAACTTTTTAGTTTAAATAAGTCCCATTTGTTGATTCTTGTTATTAACTCTTGTGCTATGGGTGTCCTATTAAGGAATTTGGAGCGCGACCCCACAATATGTAGATCGGAGCCAATTTTTTCTTCTATCAGACACAGAGTCTCTGATTTGATATCAAGCTCTTTGATCCATTTTGAGTTAATGCTGCGCCCCTCCCCTGACTCAGGCAATGGCAAGGCCCTACTGAGGTGGATGGCGCAAGGCGTCCATCCTCTGGAGGAGCACAGTATATTTCTGGGAATGGGCTGGTTTGTTTTTGTATTCCTTTAATAAGTGTAGTTGCGATTTCTCATATGACCATTAAGTATGAAGGAAAAAACATGACTTTCCCAATTAATGTAACTACTTCTAAGAATAGATCTGTTTGGTCTAAATGCAATGATTCAGCTGTGAAGCGTAAATTGTTAATGTCTAATGAAAAACTCCCTGTATTCCTGTCAAGGAAGTTTTTGAGAAATTAAATTAAAATCTGGAGAAGAAGAATTAATGTTAAGAAGACAGATTAGTGCTTAGTACTGGGCAACTTGTTCTTGTTCCTGTGCACAATGGTTTGTGCTCTTACTCTTGTTTGATTAAAATTAAAACAAGTCAACCACTTGCCGTAACCATGGCACCGGTTCCAGTCAGTAAGTCAAGAAAGAATAGTCAAGGTATAGGCCAATAGTTTGGGACATTTCTAACTATTATTAAAAGTTAACTAAGCAGAAACAGCTCAAAGCAAAACGCGAACTGAAAGTTCAAATGCTTGCTTATGCATAAGCCAAGATACATTCTTCTATTCTAATTGTAGGTACGTAATATTTTGTTTCTTTGAATAATGATTCCTGTTTTGTAACCACAAAGTACTATGAGCCTGCCAAAATGAAAAGTATATATGATCAACTTCACAAGTAAAGATTGGGATTCAGCACCTTCACTTTGGTGTCTGTGTTGTTTCTCCACCTCCCTTTCGCCGACTCCTCACCATCCGTTTGTCTCCTGAGACCCCCTGTTGGAGCTGGACTCCAACAAGTTAACTTTTGTGCATGGTGAGAGAAAGGGATTCAGTTTCATTTTGTTGCATATGGATTTCCAGTTTTCCCAGCACCATTTGTTGAAGATGCTATCCTTCCTCCATTGCATGCTTTTAGCTCCTTTATCAAATATAAGAAAGTTGTAATTTTGTGGATTGGTCTCTGTGTCCTCTATTCTGTACCATTGGTCCAATCCTGCAAAATTATGAGTGCACACAGCTGTAATCCTAGCAACACTGGAGGCTGAGGCAGGAGGATCTTAAATTCAAAGCCAGCCTCAGCAATTTAGCAAAGCCCTAAGTAACTTATCGAGGCCCTATCTCAAAATAAAAACGGCTGGGGATATATCTCAGTGGTTAAGGGCCTGTGGTTTTGTCCTATCTCTGGGACAAAACAAAATTTTAAAATCCTGCAAAAAATCTCCACAACCAGATGGTTTCAGTGACAAATTTTAACATGCATTTGAAGAAGAGATATAACCAATGTTATACATAAAAAAAAACAACCCAGAAGTAAAGGGAATTCTTTCAAACTCATAAATGATAATCAGTATTACTCTGAAACCCAAACTATACAAGACAGTAAAAGAAACACAGAAAACATAGACCAACATCCCTCATGAATATACATGGCAAAAATTCTCAAGAAAATATTAGCAAATCAAATGTTTTAGTCAGCTTTTCACTTCTATGACTGAAAAGACCTAACCAGAAAATTTTAGAGGAGGAAAAGTTTATATGGGGGATCAGAGTTTCAGAGGTCTAGTCCATAGACAGCCAATTCCATTCCTTGAGGTGGGAGGTGAGCAGGACATGATGGTGGAAGACATGATGATCAGGAAGCAGAGAGACACCACTTGCCAGATAAAAAGCATATACCCCAAAGATATGTCCCCAATAGGCACCTCTCCAAGCCACACCCTGCTTGTCTTCAATTGCCACTCAGTTAATTCCATCAGGGGTTAATTCATTGATTGGGATAAGGCTCTCATAACCCAATCATTTCTCCTCTGAACATTTTTGCACTGTTTCACACTTGAGCTTCTGAGGGACACCTCACATCCAAACCATAACATCAAATTTGGCCATATATTAAAGAAGTAATACACCATGACCAAGTGGAGTTTATCCCACCATTCAAGGCTATCACTATAGTCCACCAAAGAGGAAAAAACTTGATCATACCAATTGGTACACTAGAAAAAAATTCAACATCCTTTCATAGTAAAAACTTTCTGCAAACTAGGACTAGAAGGGAAGTTACAAACAGAGAAAGGGCACTTCTAAAAAAAAAAAAAACCTACAGCGAATCATACTTAATAGACAAAGACTGAGTACATTCACACTAAAATTAGAACAAGGCAAGGATATTCTAATAACCAATAATAATGAGGAAAAAAATCTAGAAAATGGGGGGGGGGCATATAGACATAAAAGAAAGAAAACCGCCTTCATTCATAGCCAACACTATGTTAGAAATTAAAAAAAAAAAAAAGCTTGGCCCAGCAGTGTACAGCTGTAATCCCAGGGATTTGGGAGGGTGATGCAGGGAGGATCATAACTTTGAGGCCAGGCCAGCCTCAGAAACTTGGGGACCCTGTCTCAAAATTTAAAAACGGGCTGGGGGTATATCTCAGTAGTAGAATATTCTGGGATCAATCCGCAGTAGCGGAGGTGGGGTAGGGGTGGGAGGCTTAAGGCCCCTATATAAACTAGCAATGAACAAATGGGAATCAAAAATCAAAAATTCAAAACAAAACACGTTTATAATACTCTTTAAAAATTCTTGGGCAAAACAAAAAATTCTTGGTAAAAAGGAAGCAAAATACATGTAATGTCTACATGCTAACTACAAAAAGTTAATGAAAAGAAACTAAAGAGGACCTAAATAAATGGAGAAACAACTATGTTCAACGATTGAAAGACTCAATGTAATAGAGATGATCCGTTTTCCACAAATGACCTGCGGATTTAATGTAATTTCCAATCAAAACCCCAGCAATTCTGTTTTCCAGAAATGGACAAGCCAATTATAAAATTTCTGTGGAAATGTAAAGATAGACTTGACAAAACAATTTTGAAAATGAAGTTGTAAAAATCACACTAAAACTTAAGACCTACTTCAGCAATCAAGACAGTTGTAGTATTGATAGAGACAGAATAGAGGATCAGAAATTGGCCCACAGAAACATGGTCAATTGATATCTGAAAAGGTGCAAAGGCAAGCCTAAGGAGAAAGGTTAGTTTTTTCAACAAATGGTTGAAGAACTGGACATCCATATGCCAGAAAACTAATCTCAACACAATTCTTACACTTTATACAGAAATTAACTCAAAATGGAACACTGTTTTAAATGTTAAACGTAACACTTCTATAAGAAACAAGAGGAGAAAATCCTGGTAACTTGGGGTTAAACAAAGATTTTTTTTAGATGTTTACCAAAGCATGACTCCTAAAAGAAAAATTTGATAAACCGAACTTCATTAAAATTACAACTAAGGAAAAATACCATTAAGACAGACTGAAAACACAAGCTATATCTATACTGGAAGAAAATACTTTCAAATCACATATCTGATGAAAGACTTGTATTTACAATGAAAATCTCTCAAAACGAATGCTAAGAATACAGTTTTTAAAATAAGCAAATGAGCAAAAGACTTTAATACTAACTAAAAAAACATGTATGGTAAATAGGCACATGAAAAGATGTGCTTATTAAAGATATTCAATTAAAACCATGATGTGTTTTTTTACCACCCTATTAAAATGGCTATTTGTCTATCATCAATACCCAACCGCTTCAGTTTTAATAGTTTTAAAACCCTTGCTAAGTCATTGCTTTTTCTTCAGAATTGTTTTTACCTATATTTAGCCTTCTCTCCAATCTAATTCAACCCAGACTTCTGGAGTACTCTAGAATAAAAATCAAAATGCTTGTGATAATTCATTCAAACTGGTGGTAGCTTTCGGAATTTGAGGAGTACCACTTTAATTGGGCAGCAGGACAAGTATTATTATTCCTTTTTTACCAATAAGAAATAGACTTAGGGGCCGGGTGGGGTGGCACACGCCTGTGATCCCAGTGGCTCAGGAGGATAAGGCAGGAGGATTGAGAGTTCAAAGCCAGCCTCAGCAATTTAGCCAGTTCCAACTCAGTGAGACCCTGTCTCTAATAAAATACAAAACAGGGCTAGGGATGTGGCTCAGTGGAGGAGTGCCCCTGAGTTCAATCCTCAGTACCCCCCAAAAAGAAAAGAAAATAGACTTAGTAATTACCAATATGAGGAACCCAGTGAAAGAGCCCAGCTAGTACCAGAAATAGATCTTCCGATCCCAGTTTTATTCTTGAGCCAGGCTGGATTCACAAGGTCTTATTTGCTTTCACTTATTCAGAAACCATCTTGACCTGCATAGGTAGAAAAACAAAGCAAATTCCCTGACTCTAACGAATCAATGAACTTCCAAGACAGTCATAAGAAATAAACAAGAAAGCCTAAGAACAATTTATATAAAAAAAAATTACAAAATTTTGCCTGCTGCGGTGGCGCATGTATTCTCAGTGGCTCAGGAAGTTGAGGTGGGAGGATCACTAGTTCAAAGCCAGTCTCAGCAAAAGTGAGGCACTAGGCAACTCAGAGAGACCTTGTCTCTAAATAAAATACAAAATAGGGCTGGGGATATGGCTTAGTGGTTGAGTGCCCCTGAGTTCAATCCCAGTACCAAAACCAAACAAAATTTCAAAATTTTTTTCATGTAACTAATACAAGCCTAAGAACCATTTTAATTAGACCTTAGTTAATTAAGCAACAAAAGTTTATCGATAGACTTTTAAAAATTATAATTAACATCTACTTTAAAAAACATTCTCTAGGCTGCATAATGAAACACTATCAAAATGAACCATACTTAAAATTTGTTCATAATTATAAAACCATCTATTCAGGGAAAGAAACTGTAAATAGCAGGCAGCTCAAAGGATAATTTTATTACTATTTCAGAAAAACAGTGACACAGTTTCTAAGAATTTGCATGTTCATTTCCTGTATGTGAAACCACAAAAGTGTAAAATATTTAATAATATTAATTTATTTTGCTATTCTTCCTGAAAAATGATTTCCTCCCTTTCTTTGTCTAATAAGTAGAGTGGAAGAAGTACTTTTCAAACTAACAAGTTTCAATTTTTTTAAAAATAGCCTTCAGTTAAAAAAAAAAAAGTTATACTTTTAACATACCTGCCTATTTTCATAGTACCTACCTACTTTAACTAGTCACAAAATGTTTACATTGTTTTCTATAGGTAGGTCTAAATTGCAGGCAAATTTTTTTTAAACAATTTTTTTTTTGGTGTGTTTCCTGCATTAGCCACATTCTCACCCACTCTTGCCACCAAACATGTACATTCAAGATTCCTGGCAGATGGTTCAAGAACATTCTGCTGCTGGTAAAAAAGAAACTGCCACCTACCCAAGACAGCAATTGCCAGCTGTTTACTTATAGACTTCTTTTTGGTTAAGAAAATTTTAATAAATTCAGGTCACTCATCTGTTTCCTTTATCCAGAAATCTACTATCTTATAGCTAGACCTACAGAAAATTACTGTGACTACTGATATACCACAGATGTCTTTAAATGTCAGTTTAGTGTAAATTTTTTTTAACTGTCCAAGTAGATACCTCTAATGACAATTAGGAGATAACATTAATTGACACATGAGATAGAAAAATAAAAAGGCATAGTTATGTCTTTCAGAAAAGTTCATAATCTTTTTTTATTTTTATTTATTTTTTTGGTGGTGCCGGGGATTGAACCTAGGGCCTTGTGCATGCTAGGCAAGCACTCTACCAACTGAGCTATATCCCCAGCCCCCAAAGCTCATAATCTTAAGAGATCAAGAATTATGCATTTAATTACACATAAAAATAAGCATTATACAGACATACATGTCACTATTTGAAATCACGGAAAATTTTCATTGGTGCAGTGAACATAATTGGAGCTTTATAAAGAAAATTAATTTTTAAAGTTGGACAGAACAGAATTTGAAAGGAATAATGCTGGAAGATTTTTAGAAAAATCATATATATTTGGACCTAACAGAGTGGTGCACATCTATATTCCCAATGAAGTAGGACTGAAAGTTCAAGACCAGCCTCAGTATTTTTTTTTAAGCTTTATTTTATTTATTTATTTATATGTGTTGCTGAAGATCCAACCCAGGGCCTCACACATGCTAGGCGAACGCTACTGCTGAGCCACAACCCCAGCACCCAGCCTCAGCATCTTAGTGAGAACTTATCTCAAAATAAAAAATTAAAAAGTCTGGAGACTTAGCTTAGTGGTAAAGTCCCCCTGGGCTCAATTTCCAACACCCAAAAAAAAGGTGCAGGCCTGTAATCCCAGTGGCTCCCGAGGTTGAGGATGAAGGATCTTGAGTTCAAAGCCAGCCTCAGCAACAGCAAGGTGATAAGCAACTGAGTGAGCACCTGTTTCTAAATAAAGTATAAAAAATGGCTGGGGATGTGGCTTAGTGGTTGAGTGCCCCTGAGTTCCATCCCGGGTAACCGCCCCCCGCCATAATAAAATATCCTTAGAATCACGATTAAACAAAAGTTTCATATACACATATGCAAACAGTTACAGCAATTCCAAAAGGAACCAACCTAATCTAAACCCACTGTTTCTAACCTATAGGCCAAGGAGTCAGTGGCACAGTTGCATGAATGCACACACAGGAAGCATTGCAAACAGTCTAAGACATTTCTCTCACATATAATTCCACTACTTTTCAAATATAATAGTATAATAAAACACAAAATTATTTGAAAGCATAGGGTTTTTTTCCCTTTCCATTATAATTCCAATCAACCAATAATTTAAAAATTTTACAATTACATACGTATTAGGAGTATGGGATTGCTCATATTCAAAATAGGCAGGGGCCTTCAAGCAAATATACAAGGTTCCCTCTAGGTCTTAAAATTCCATGGTTTTAAGGAACTAAAAACTCCGTGGTAAAGTTTTTCGAACTATTATAAATATGTATACATATGTACATATAAATAATGTGCCAAGCACTGGAATAGATTCTGTTTCAAAGATGAAATGACATGATTTCAGACTCAATTTCAAGTTCGCAGAACAGACAGATAAATGAACAAATAATACTTCCTAATAAATACCACCAAACTATCTGAAGCGCTTTGTCACCTGGGGGAGTCTGAGAAAATCCACGAATTAAGTTTTGATAAATGGCAAACAGGGACAGATGCTACAGTCCTATAAAGAGAAAGAGCTGTGAAAAATGCACGGCACTTTTGGAAAAAACAGCCAGTGTCTGGTATGGTTGGACGTTAAAGTATCTGGAGAAGAAGCAAGTTGAGACTCTAAAAATATGATTGAGACAGACTGTAAAAGATCTTGAATGACATGCTTGATAATTAGGACTTGATTCTGTCAGCAATACTGTTACTTGAAAAGTTTAAGGAGAGATGTAAACAAAATGTATGCCAGAACTGTAAGGACGTTAACGGGGAAACTAGTTTGGGGTAGGTGCAATAATTCTGGTGAAAGAAGAAACAATACAGTGCAGTTTAACTGGAACTGTGGATTCTTGGGTTTCTAGTTTGGATGTTAGGACGTATACTGGTGTCAGTATCAGTATCTGGGATGGAATAAAGATGAAAACCAGAAAAAAAGAGTAATATCTCTTGGATGGCGGTTTCAAGAAGGGAATGGTCATCTGCGGCAAATACTGCAAAGGGGTAAACTGGAGGAAAAAGGGTCCCTTTCCCTAACCCTCAAGGTGGGTAAGAAGAGAAGAAAACAAATACGGATGGTACGGTGCGTCCACAGGTTTGGGGCCGAGAGTTTCTAATAAACTTTCCGTACCTCCGTTCCGGAAAGAGGAGCTCAAAGCTAAGCACCGGGCTGGCTCCCAAGAGCTGAGACTGCGAAGTGGCCGGGGCCGGAGAGCCGGTGGTTCTCAAGTGGCACGCACCGAGGCAGCCCACAGGCAAAGGAAGCTTCCGACTCGCCTACGCCCGCTCTGGTCCCCGGGTTTATACCACTTACTGCGCTCTCAATCCCTCGCAGCCGTCGGCTATGGAGATTAGGACCTTTGACGACCGGGTCTTAAGCACCCAAAGGAAAAGACTCCGCACCTCTGTTCCGCGTCTTCAGCGAGCAGACGCAGAATCCAACAGAGACAGCACAGACAACTGGCAAGTCAGCAGGGTTCAGCCCCATCACTGACCCGGGATAAACCTCCGCCGACCGTCCCCGACTAGCGCTCCTTGACTGCCCCAGTCTCGCGAGATTTCCTCCCTCGCGTTACCGTGGAGCAGAGCCGGCCGCTCGCCGCTGATTTGCGGGAGAGGTAGGGGCGGGGCCTTCCTGTGTCCCTCCCTATTTACCCACTCTAGTTTTAGCTCGTCTTCTCGCTAAGTCTCGCGTGTTTTTCTAGGGGCAACGGGCCTAGGTGAAGAGACAGAAAAGCAGACGCGGGAGGGTGGGTGCTAAGCCTATGGGTTCTGAACCTAAGGGGTTGTGGCCTGTTCAGCGGTGCTGTGGTTGGTACTTCACTTTTGGGGACACTCTTAGGTCGCCCGGATCATTCTTCCCAAAGGGTGATTGGGTAAATTAGTGGGTAGAACATCTCGAGGTTGGAGGCAATTTTTTTTCTCATTGGCTCCGCCCTCTTCCTGTTTGGCGTCTTGTGCGTCGGTCCTTGGAGGAGGAAGAGAAGCTTGGCGGGGCTGTAGAAGAGTGCTTTGCGCAAGCGCGAGCCCGAGTATGTGAGTGTGTGTGTATGTGCACGCGCACGCGCGCACTCCTGCATTTAGGAAGCCTGGGAAGGACCGGTGTTCTGGAGATGTGCGGGGAAAGCGTAGTCCCCTGGTTTTGGTAGCAGACACTCCTGACTGTGCGTTGATTCTCCCACCCTCCCAGCCAGCAGCCTTTGCCAGAGAGGCACAGCCTCTGTTCGTTTTCACTGCAGGACCAGGCACGAAAGTAAGCGAACCTCGATTCTGAGGTCTTCCCTATCCACTCACCTTGTATTACCCCCTTCCCAACCCCCGGCAGAGTGTGTCTAGGAGGTTTCTTAAAGAGAGTTTTGCATGAAGGGGAGATGTGTTTTGAGAACAGAAGAAAATAGCGGTCGTAAAAAGACAGTTCGTTTTGATGAACACTTTTCCACTGCTTAACATGTGCTTTTGGAATGTGGATTTGTCTATTTAGTATTTTATTAGTGAAGTAAGAGAGTATCTCATGCTCTGTTTTAATAAGAAAAAGTTTAAAAAGTTCCTTTTCCCCAACAGTGTAATTGTAGCAACCAAGTTATTCTGTTCTACATGGAAATTATTGTGGTCTATCAAATGTTAAGAAGAAGAATGAGTTTGGGGTCCTTATCCTAATACGAAGACCCGATATGCAGTTATCTTGGGAGTTGTTTATTATGTTTTGGGCTTTACTTTTGCTGTCACGTTCCTTAATTGTTAGTTTTCCCTCACTCCACTCACCTTTTTCAGAAGTCTTGAAACTTTTTTGTTTGTTTGTGTTTGGAGGGAAGCTCAAAATTGCTGACTTAGAGGTTTTTATATATCAATGTCAATTAAGATAACCAAAAGTGTATTTGAAGAGTATTTATTATTTTTCATGTTTGGTAAATATAAGGGAATCAGATACAATGATATATAAAATGTTTTTTTCTGACAATTTTAAGTTATTTTAAAAAGCAAAAATAAAAAAATTATGGAATGTAACTTTCTGTGCCTGGTAAAGTGACAGTCTCATTTGAATTGACCCAGTTGCTTTCTGGTCCTAACCCTGGTAAACATTGTCATTAAACTTTTCCTTTGTTGGGCAAATTTCTCTGAACATATTTTTAATATCTCCTACCAATTTTTTTTTGTGTGTGGAAAAGTCCTGTTAGTTAGAAATAATTTAAGATATTACATGTTATATATCACCATTTAACTAATGTACATTTCCCCATATAGGTTAAAAATGAAGATTTTTTCTGAATCTCATAAAACAGTATTTGTTGTGGATCACTGCCCTTATATGGCAGAATCATGCCGACAGCATGTGGAGTTTGATATGCTGGTGAAGAATAGAACCCAAGGAATCATCCCTCTGGCCCCAATCTCTAAATCATTGTGGACTTGTTCAGTAGAATCTTCGATGGAGTACTGTAGAATAATGTATGATATATTTCCATTTAAAAAGCTGGTGAGTATACATTACAAACAAAATTTATGATATGGGGGGGATATACTTAACTGTGTAAATAAATTTGTTGTACATTTGACTTAGAACTATTTATTTACTACTTAAAATGCACACAGAACTGCTATTTGGGATAAATATATTATAGATATTTAATTGGAACCAGTAATAACAGCTGGTAACTATTGCACACTTACATGTGCCAGACATGTTTCGAAGTGCTTTATATTTATTAGCTCCTTTGATTGTCACAACAGTTAGATGAAGTAGGTACCATAAGTATTGAGGCAATTTTAATATGTAACAACTAATATGGAACAAGCACCATTGAGAATTATGGGAGCCCAAGCAGAAGGAGCATTGGCTATAAGCAGTTTCTCTACTTGTGCTGGTATGTTGCCAGCTGTATATCAGTTTTGTTTATTACAGTTGTGGTGTTCATACAAAAACTGAGGTAAAGAAACTTGTCCCTAGTCACATAGCCAGTTAGAGATAGAGCCAGAATCTGAATCTAAGCAGACTGGCTGCTTGCCATTCTAAAGAATATATACTAAACTGCTTAGGATTTGCCCAACTTAAAAAGAAATGCTCTTAAAATACTAAGTTGGGGTTAAGAGTGTAGCTCATTGGGAAGCTCTAGGTTTAATCCCCAGCACCAAAAGAAAAGGAAAGAAAGAAAAAATGATGCTAAATGGAATTTTTTTTTATATCAAGAAGAGAAATTGATGATTAATAGAAAATTTAAGTATTAAAAATTATCTTTAGGTTTTATTATCTCAGATGTTTTATTTTGGGAAAGTCATTTGGTTAGCCACAAGTGGATGATGTGCTCTCCGTCTCATTTGCAGCAGCCTGGGCTGGGACCTAGCCAATTCTTAGACTGGCAAAGATAGCATAGTCACAGCTAAGGTGAATATAGAGAGTCCAACATTATGCATTCAGATATATTCCAAGTTAAAAAATAAGTTCCTTATATATTTATAATTTTTGGCGGGGGAGGGTACCAGGGATTGAACTCAGGGGCATTCAACCACTGAGCCACATCCCCACCCTTTTTTTTGTATTTTATTTAGAGCAGGGTCTCACTGAATTGCTTAGCATCTCATCGTTGCTGAGGCTGGCTTTGAACTCACGGTCCTCCTCCTGCCCAGTCTCCCTAGCTGGTGGGACACAGGCTTGCGCTGTGGCACCTGGCCCTTTTGAAATTTTTGTGCATCCTGTATAGATATATAATGAGGGGAAGAATAGCATCTTGATTTTAGGCACAGGCTTCAGTTCAAATCCTGGCATCTAGCAACCAGCAGTGTGACTTGGATAATATTTCTTAATCTCTCCAAGCCTTAGTTTCCTCCTATGTAAGTATTATACCTATTTTCTCGCTGTAAGATTTAAGTGAGATAATCTAATAAAGTGGCTATAAAATTTATTCCTGTCAGATAAACATTGGAGAAAAGACCAATTATCAAACCTTTTCTTTAAAGAAGGAAACTAACATTTCATGTATATTAGGGAAAAAAGATCATATCATCCAGGGGAAAAAAAGAAATTTCTTCCTCCTCTCAAAAAGTGACATAGTCACTTGATATATTTTCTAATATGTTCCTTATCATCATCCTACCTGGTAGTTTTTTGTGGTGCTGGGGAGCAAACCTAAGGCCTTTCGCATTCTAGGCAAGTGCTCTACCACTGAGTTATATTCTCAGCCCCAATAATGTTTTTTTTTTTTCTTTTTGTATTTTACTTTAGTAAAAATAATGTATTTCAAATCCATTATTTGGCTTTCAGTGGTCTGAATTACTGAGTGCTCTATAGATAAGGCTATTGCCCTATTTGTTTGAACTTTTTTCCTGCTACTCTGCTTACTCTTTATTTTTTTTATTTTTTATTTTTTTTAAACTCTTCTAAGGGTACACACTTATCAACTTTTGCATTTGCTGTTTGCTGTACCTGGAATTCTCTATCCCTGTTTTTTTCAGTGGCTAGTTTCCTTTGGTCATTTTAATTTTCTCTAGATTGCCACTTTCTATAGAGAGCCTGTGTCTCACAACCCGATCTAGAGTAGCTAACAACTATTTTTCATAGTATTTATCACTCTCTGAAATTATCATGTTAATTTGTATTCTTGTTGCAATGCTCCTTACTTTGTCACATTCCCCATTCTAGACTTCCCCCACATTGTGACAGAATTGTTTTATCCATCCCTATAGTACCATGTCCCCACTGCTAAGAATAGTACCTGGTATAAGCTAGGCATTCTGTTATTATAAAATGAATGAATTAATCAAACAATGAATCAGTGGTAGAAATTGCATATTATATTAAAGTATGGTGGTTAAGTAAAATTATAGTTGAATATTAATTGTTTCTTTGACATCTATTAGGTGAATTTCATTGTGAGTGACTCCGGAGCACATGTTTTAAATTCTTGGACTCAAGAAGACCAAAATTTACAGGAGGTATGGTTAGGTTTTAAGTTGTGGCTGTTTTTGAAAATTATCTAAATATGGCAATAGTTTTTTTAAAAAAAGTTTATTTATTTATTTATGTCCATGTTGTATTTATACATAGTTTTAAAATTTCCAGTTAAATTAAAAGAAAAACAGCTTTCCATTTCACTCACCCTCTCACCCCCAAACATCTTTCACTTCTAGTTTTTCTGATATATATTTTCATATTTCTAAACAACATATTTTTACTCCTACTTATTGAGGTCTCAATTTATAATTTATCTATTTATCATTATTGTTAGGATTTATCTTTTTTATATTCCCTTCACCCATTCCTTTCCCTGTTTTCTCAGAATTATTATATCAGAATTATTGGTTTGCTTAAAATTTCATATTTCTGTTATAATGTCCACATACAGTGTTATTCACTATTATGCCAGGTAATATCTATGATTATTTGTGCAAATTTTTATTTATTCCTAGAATTAATTATTTCCTTTTTTCTATGTTTGCTTAAACTTCTCAGTATTTTTATTATAGATGTATTAGATAATTTAACAGTTTGATACCTTCACGAATTACTTCTTGAAGCACAGTCTGAACTGGCACTTTCTGGGCTTAC